CACTGCTCTCTCACTGCTCTCTCACTGCTCTCTCACTGCTCTCTCACTGCTCTCTCACTGCTCTCTCACTGCTCTCTCACTGCTCTCTCACTGCTCTCGCACTGCTCTCGCACTGCTCTCTCACTGCTCTCTCACTGCACGCTCGCTCTCTCACTGCTCTCTCACTGCTCTCTCACTGCTCTCTCACTGCTCTCTCACTGCTCTCTCACTGCTCTCGCACTGCTCTCTCACTGCGCACGCGCTCTCTCACTGCTCTCGCACTGCCCTCGCACTGCTCTCTCACTGCGCGCGCGCTCTCTCTCTCTCTCCCTCCCTCTTACCCTGTCCCTCTCTGGTTAAATTAAAATAAAGTTAAACAAAATAACTCTTCCAAAAAATTAAAAATAGTCATGTTGTTCTAGTTTTATTTGTACCTTGCCTTACTCCACAAAGAGTATGAGGCTTCTTGTTTTTGTTTACTTTTTCATTGTTTATTTGTGTTTTGTTTTAAGACAGAGTACCCCTGACATAGGGCGCTGCCTCCTTAGCCTCAGAGTAGCTTGGAAGCACACACCTCATTGTCTAGTATTTGGTTTATACCAGATTCAAACCGGGCCTCCAGGGTGGTCCTGGTGTCTTTAGAACATCTTAGCATGTGCCACTGAGGCTGGGCCAGCATCGGGTTTTTGACATCAGGTTTGATAGTTGGCGTTTTTATAAACCTGTGTGATAAAGGAGTACGTGGTCCTTTAAGGTTTAAAAACTAACACTTAGAAATAGTTATATTGAAATATTTCTTCAATTAATCAATGTCTTTTTTTTTTTTTAACTTATTTCCTTCCTTCCAGAGAGAGACATAGACAAGTTCCTCAGCAGAGTCTTCACACAGTGTAGCTGGCATGTCAAGGTCGACCCAGGACGTGGACCCAGAGCCCCTACACGGGCTGCAGCACCCCAGTTACCTGAGCCGCCGTGCCTGGACCGAACGTTGTCTTCTAAAGGCTCTTTTAGCATTGTTTAAAGATCAAAGGTTAGTCGTGAAGGACTTTTGCCTAGCTTCTAGAAGATAAATTATCGTTTGTTTTTTTTTTTAAGTTGAACCTTTTAAAAACATTTTAAGACACAACGTTATGTTTTTATAAACTAATCTACTCTAACAGGAGTATTTTTCCTCTTATAAGACAAAGAACAAACTAAGTGTCAAGTTTGGTGAAATATAGTTGCTATGCTTAGAATGTCCCCCCAGAATTAATGTAGTGGAATCTGGTTGAATTGTACAGGTATCAAAAAAGACCTAATCTGAGGAAAATGATTAGGCATCAAGATAGGAGCCCTGTGAGTCAGTCCTGGTGGGTTCTTAAGGAGAGGGATTGGTTCAGGCAGAGATGCATGGGCACAGGCACCCTCGAAATGTGATCCTCTCATGGCCTTGGGACCAAGAAGATCTTACTAAATGTGAACACTTGACTTGGACTTTCAAAACTATGAGCTAAATAAACCTTTATTCTCTTTTTTTAAAAAAGAATTATTTTATTTAACTTTATTTATTTATATATTTTTTCATTTAAATTTTACGAGAGAGAGAGAGAGAAGGTGAGAAAGCAAGCCACCAGGTTCTGGACTCGAACCGTAGTTGCCCACATGGTAATCATCCAGCGCCTTTAACCACCACACCATCTGCGGGCCCGTAAACCTTTATTCTCTTCAATTACCCAGATTGGTATTTTCTCTTATTAACAACAGGGTAAACTAGGACGACAGTTTTATTGCAAAGAGTGTCATGTGAAATTAGTGTCTATCAACTGCCTGATAGGATTCCTGTAAACGTGTTTGGGTCCGTATTTTAGCAGTGCTGGAAAAGTAAAAGTTGGAAGCAAGAATAAAAACTGAAGGGTTCAAATATGAGCTCTATCTGACTGGTACCTTACAGATGTCGTATTGCCCACAAGTCTATAGTCCCTGCCACACGTGCTAGGATTTCAGACAGGAAAATGAGTAGGAGCAACTAAAGTAGAAAAGTTTAAACATACTCTCTTCTTTTTAAGTCTTTGCTTATTTCACTCATGCTAAAGAGCACCTGCTCACGAGAGAGAGACACTTCCGTGCCACAGTCCCCCCTCCCTAGCTCTTCAAACCCTCAGGGTCTTGGGCAAATATGCCTGCACCCAGTGTGTTTCTTATCCAGCCTGGAAACTCTTGCCGTTTAAAGGAGTTTATTTCATGTGCGACTCAGTTTCCCCATTCAGCAGATTCTGAGCCTGTGCTGATTTGGAGGATCTTTGGTATAGCTGTCCGTCTTCTGGATCGGAAGTGAGGACAGATAGACAGACGTACAGCTGAAAATGAGAGGCGGGCCGGCTCACGGTGTGGTGGTTAAGGTGGCTGATTTCACATGGCCAACGGCACCGTTTGAATCCCACACCGGTGACTTGGAAACACCCCTGGTGCCGATGCCGATGCCCATGTGCTCCAAGTCCTGAGAGATGGAAGAGAAGGGGCTGCAGCATGGCCAGCACCCTGGTGAGAGGGGTGTGTGTGTGTTGCGGGTGGGTGGGGGGAGGAGACAATACTTTCACACTTTCTCTCTCTCCCTGTCTTGCTCTCTGACAAAATCAGGTACCCTGTAGCAAAGTAAAGAAAATAGGAAATAGGAAAAGAAAGGAAGCGGAGTACGTACAAGTCCATGTCCATGTGGCAGCTCTGGACTGCATTCTTTCTATGGAAAACAAGAATGCAATATTCCGGGACCAGCAGTTAGCATATGGCTATGTTGCTGGACTCCCATGTAGTCGACTGCAGTTTGCATCCCAGACCTGGTGGCTTAAAACCCACGCTGGGCGTGTGTGTGTGCGTGCCCAAGATCCTGAGAGGAGAATGGAGGAATGGAGGGGAAGGGATTGCGGCGTGGCCATCCCCACTGGGGGGTGATTTCTCGCCTTGTGTCTCTGTCTCTCTCTGTTTGTCTGGCGAGCACACGTACCCTATAGCAAAATCCTCTCAAAAAAAAAAAAGGAACGCAATATTCCAACTTATGTAAACTCAGGATCCATCTTGAGGCTAAAATCCAACTTACGTAAACTCAGGGTTTGTCTTGAGGCTAAAATGTGGCATTTAAAAGATAACACTCTGTCCAGTTCCCAAGTTTACAGGGTTCACCTCTGGTCCCAACACACTTGACTATAGTAAAACATCATAAAATCTATTGAAAAAATTGATTACCTGGAAAACGATCTCATTATAAATTGTTTATTATAAAATAAGCTAGGGCTGGCAGGTGGCATGGTGGTTAAGGGTGCTGGACTCCCACATGGCCGACCATGGTTTGAGTCCTGGATGTGGCACTTTGCTTCCTCACTTTCCCTCTGTCTCTCGCTCTGTTCCCCCCTATCAAATTTAAAAATATATGAATAAATAAAGCTAAATAAAATAATTTTTTAAATAATAAATAAATAAATATAATCCACCTTTGACTTGCCACTTGCTTCCTATGCCCAAACCACAGCTTTCTATGGTGCTGTGAGACAAGACAAGAGATTTTGAAAGTTTTTTTAAGGGCTGAATGGTGGTTCAGTAGTGAAATGCAATTCTCTGCAAAGCAGGAAGAAAGCCAGAAATCACTCCCCAGGAGGGATGGCCACACTGCAATTCCTTCTCCCCTATTCTCCTCTGGGGACTTCGGGCACGCACACACATACTCCCAGCATGAGTTTCAAGCCGCCAGGTCTGGGACTTAAACTGCAGTCAGCCCTGTGGGAGTCCAGTGTCTTAATCGCTATGCTACTCACTGGCCTGAAAAATGTTTAAGTTTAAAAATGAACCTGTATCTCCAAAACCACAAAGAGGGTAAACTAGGAAAACTGGACCTGAATGAGAATAAGCTCTAATCGCTGCAAGAATGTTCAATATTGAGCACTGCCCAGGGCACATACAACTGCACACCTAAATTCTGAGCCCAGTAACCATATGCAATTCAGAATAACAGTGTTAAGGTGGTTGCTTCTGTGCATGTAGGAACGTGTGACATGGCTTTTGACGACATGCATAGCAATGCTCAGCAAAGGCAGAAGCACTGTAACTTACTTCCATCTTGATCTTTAGTCAGGGGATCACCCTATAGATCAAGGAATCAACTCTTAATTCTGAGATGAGACAGCTGGAAGACTGGATGAGCAGCAGGCCTTCGACTAGCCAGATATGTTAAACTGGTGCCCACCAGGACCTACGTCCAGCCTTGAAAGCGCGGGGAGGGGTGGTCGTCACAAGAGTTGAGACTGTGGGCCAGAGGCCTTATCAAGTCTGCAGCCCCAGCTGTGTTGAGAGGAACAGCCTAGCCTAGGCTCCCCCCATTTTAATACTTCCTCAATCTCACATCAGAAACATTTTCTGTCTTTCTTCATCCTGCTGCACACTGGGGCCAGAGAGAGCTCTGGGAAACCTTTAATTTCCTCCTACCTCCAAATGATGCGTTTTGTACCTGAAAGTTTTCTACTCCAACATTTTCTAGAGGTCAAATATCTTTTGCACGGCTTGCATCTTTGCCTGAACTTGGCCCATGTCCTCCCAGGCCCCCTGCTGGAATCATCTTTCTCTGCCGTGCTTCCTATTGTGAGGATAAATGAGAAAAAGGCACCAGAAGGCCATTGCGATAATAAATTAGAGAGGAAAGTGCAGGCACAGAGACAGCCCCAGGCTTTATGAGGACTCCGAAGTGGGCCCGGACAATCAGGGAAACCCAGCACAAGTGCCACTGAGCATGCCACATGGGACAGGGGCCCATGTCAGAGCTGCTGTGCAAGGCGGGTGACAGAGAAGGGGGTACGATCTGGCCATATGTTTTTGGAAACAGACAGTAGAGAAGGGGAATTCAAAGTTTGCAGGAAATGCAACATAAGCATATTATTAGACCTTTAGGCTAGAAGATTCATCACAACAATTAAAATTAAATTGGAGGCATTTGCAAAATGCCTTTTGGCAATTTCATGTTTGTTTCCTTGACTATAGAGGTAGTGCTTGTATAGCCCATATCAGAAGATGTTAAAAAGACTTTACTATTGCCAAATGTCCTATATCTGGGGAGCTGGAGAAATAAGACTATAGGGGTGGGCTGGGTGGGGTGCTTTCTATAGACTAGAAACAGTACATCAAAGTGCAGATTTGAAGTTTGAACAGGCCCAATTGGCCCCCATTCAAACGAAAGACTGTAAAGCAATTTTCTAAGAAACTGTTACATCACCACTAGGAGCATGGTACTCTCAGTAAGCAGTGCAGTGTCCCAGTCTTGGAAATGTGACAGGAAGCTTACGAACTAGGAATGGCATCAGGCCCTTCGAACAGAGTAAAGAGAACTCTCTGTTAGATTCCAAATGCTAAAGTACATCTTGTTACGAACATGATGATTAATCCTCAAATGTCTAGTCTCTTCCCGATCATTAGTCTTCGTTAGTGGTTCCCAAAGTTTGGTCTCTCTACCAGCAGCATCAGCGGCACTTCAGAACTTACTAGAAAAGCAGATTATTGGACCCACTAAGACCTTGCTGAGTCAGAAAGTTGTGGGGGCGGGAGCCAGCAGTCTGTGATCTAACAGGATTTCCCAGTAGCTCCGAATGCGTGGAAATGCTGAGAAGTCCGCGGCATTGCAGCCGCTGCAGCCTTTCCTTTGCTCCAGGTTTCTGCTACAGGACACCTGCACTCAGCAGAGAGAGACGAGGAGAGAGAAAGTGAGAAATCGCCCTCTACCTCCATTCTCCTCTCCGGGTTTTGGGAACCCATGCACACACACCAAGGGTGATTTTCTTTTTCTTTTCTTTTTCTTTAATTTTTTTTTTAAGGTTTTTGCTATAAGGTGCACGCACTTGCTGGAGAAACAGAGAACAACAATGAGAAAGAAAGTGAAAAATCAACCCCCAGAGGAGGCGATCACACCACAATCCCTTCTCCTCCATTCTCTTCCTGGGAGTTTAGGCTTTCATGCACACACACACCCTGCGCGAGTTTCAAGCTGCCAGGTCCAGGACTTGAACTGTGGTCAGT